AGGTCTCCAAAGTCCCTATATATCTTCCGATTTGCACGAAATTTGGCATAGCACACTGAATTAAGCCTAGAATGGTGTGTGCTAAGTTTCGAGAAAATCGGTTCAGATTTAGATATACCTCCCATATATAATTTAATCCGATTTAAGGTAAATAGGTCTCTAAAGTCCCTATATATCTTTCGATTTCCACGAAATTTGGCAGAACGTACTGAATTAAGCCTAGATAGATGTGTGTTAAATTTCGTAGAAATCGGTTCAGGTTTATATATAGCTCCCATATATATTTTCGTCCGATTTAAGGTAAATAGTGCACCAAAGTCCCTATATATCCTACGATTTACACGAAATTTGGCATAGCGTATTGAATTGAGTCTGAAATGATGTGTGTCAAGTTTCGGGAAAATCGGTTCAGATATAGATATAGCTCCCATATATATTTTCGTCCGATTTAATGTAAATGGTAAACCAAAGTCCCTATATATCTTTCGATTTGCACGAAATTTGGCAGAACGTACTGAATTAAGCCTAGATAGATGTGTGTTAAATTTCGTAGAAATCGGTTCAGGTTTATATATAGCTCCCATATATATTTTCGTCCGATTTAAGGTAAATAGTGCACCAAAGTCCCTATATATCCTACGATTTACACGAAATTTGGCATAGCGTATTGAATTAAGTCTGAAATGATGTGTGTCAACTTTCGGGAAAAGTCGGTTCTGATATAGATATAGCTCACATATATAATTTCGTCCGATTTAATGTAAATGGTAAACCAAAGTCCCTATATATCCTTCGATTTACACGAAATTTGGCATAGCGTACTGAATTCAGCCTAGAATTATGTGTGCTAAGTTTCGCGAAAATCGGCTCAGATTTAGATATAGGTCCCATATATATTTTCGTCCGATTTAATGTAAATGGTAAACCAAAGTCCCTATATATCTTTCGATTTGCACGAAATTTGGCACAACGTATTGAATTCAGCCTAGAATTATGTGTGCTCAGTTTCGTGAAAATCGGTTCAGATTTAGATATAGCTCCCATCGGTTCAGATTTAGATATAGCTCCAACATATGCATCGTCCGATTTTACATATGCATCGTCCGATTTTACATAAGTGGTGCACCAAACTCCTAATGGTTGTTCGATTAACACGAAATTTTGCACAACGTATCAAATTGAAACTTGAATGATCCTATTGCGTTTGTTGAAATTCGTGCAGATGCAGCCATTTTTTTCAGGCTTGGATTTAAAAAAAAATTCTGAGACTTCCCTAAGGCGTGGATTTTAAAATAATTTTTTTCTAAGACCTACATAAGGCGTGGTTTGAGAATTTTTTTTCTTCAAAATTTGTATCCCATTTCATTATTATTTATTTATTCTAGAACTCATTCCATATTCCCCAATACCGATATGACACAAAAACCATATTCACATTTATCCTCACTGCCCTTGTATTCCGCATTACATTGTTCCAATTGTTCAATTTCTGCTTTATCTGTTCCATTCGAATGATGTTTCAGTGTCGCGATATCCAAAATACCCTCTTCATCCAAATGATCCCAACTACGCATCATACAATAGGTATAACACTTGAAGCGGCTGTCGATTTCGGTGGCCCCCTTTTTTATTTCCTCCAATTCGGCGTAGAGTTCATCTTCTGAAATTTCACTTTCTTCAAGGCAGCCCATGTGTTTGCTGGTATCGTCGGTGGAAATCTGGGGAGAGGAGAGATTTTTTTTTTAAATATTGGTTTCAAAAATTCGGAATTTTTAATTTACCTCTGCAACAAAAAATATCATGGCCAGAGCCAAACACCAGCCCATGTGTGGAAGATGCATTATGGACATGTCGTTGTTCTAGTTGGAAATGTTGTGAAATAAAAAAATCGATTTGCTTTGGAGATTGTCGTTTTATTTGGGCGCTTGAATGGAAAATGCAAATTTCATTATTGCATGTGAAATGCAATTAAGTGGTGGAGTAATTAATTTAAATAATTGTAATAATTAAAACAAATTTATTGTAAACAAAAATTATTTAAATATGACTAATACTTTTAAGAGCTTCGGATATTAGGGGGGTTTTAAAAATATAATATTTTTAGGACTTATAGAGTCGTATATTTTTTAAAAAACATTTTTTCACGGACTGCGATATATCGTGGATTTTTGAAAAATATTTTTAAGACATACAAAAGGCTTGGATCATTTTTTTCAGGGGATTTATAAAAATATTTTTTCCAGGACATATTTAAGACGTGGATTTGTATATGTTTGTAACAGGCAAAAGGACACGAGATATACCCATAGTTTCTTTTGAGAGTATGCATAGAATCACTTACTAAGTCGATTTATGTATGTCAGTCCGTCCGTCTGTCTGTCTGTCCTTGTTAAATTGTAAACAAAGTACAGGTCGCATTTATAATCCGAATCGGATGAAATTTCTCACAGCTCACTTGGGAAAAATCGGTTCAGATTTAGATATAACTCCCATATGTATTTTCGTGCGATTTAAGGTTATTGGTGCACCAAAGACCCTATATATCTGTCGACTTGCACGAAATTTGGCATAACGTACTGAATTGAGCCTAAAATGATGTGTGCCAAGTTTCATGAAAATCGGTCCAGACTTAGATATAGCTCCTATATATATCTTCGTCCGATTTATGGTAAATTGTGTACCAAAGCCCCTATGTATCTTTCGATTTGAACGAAAATTTGCCATAAGGTACTGAATTGAGCCTAGAGTGACGTGTGCCAAGTTACGAGAAAATCGGTCCAGATTTAGATATAGCTCCCATATATATTTTCGTCCGATTTCATGTAAATGTTGCTCCAAAGTCCCTATATATATTTCGGTTTGCTCGAAATTTGCCATAACGTACTGAATTGAGCCTAGAGTGATGTGTGCCAAGTTTCGAGAAAATCGGTCCAGATTTAGATATAGCTCCCACATATAGTTTCGTCCGATTTCATGTAAATGGTGCACTAAAGTCCCTATATATGTTTCGATTTGTTCGAAATTCGGCATAACGTACTGAATTGAGCCTTTAGTGATTTGTGCCAAATTTCGAGAAAATCGGTTGAGATTTTACATAGCTCCCATATATAGTTTCGTCCGATTTAATGTAAATGGTGCTCCAAAGTCCCTATATATATTTCGATTTGCACGAAATTTGGTATAACAAACTGAATTGAGCCTAGATGGATGTCGGTCAAGTTACGTGAAAATCGATCTATGTTTACATATAGCTCCCATATATATTGTCGTTCGATTTAATGTAAATGGTGCACCAAAGTCGCTATATATGTTTCGATTTGCACGAAAATTTGGCATAGCACGATGTGTGTTAAGCTTCGACCGATTTAATTTTTATTTTGCACGAAATTTGGCATAGCGTACTGAATTGAGTCTAGAATGATGTGTGTAAAGTTTCCTATTTTAAGTCCCAAAATTAGGCAGATTGCCATACAATTTTTACAACGTACTAAAGTTTGTGTAACGTAACATGTGCCAAGTTTTGTGAAACAAGTTAGGATTTAGATATAGCTCTCACAAATTTATATTGGTCCTAGACCCAATTTTAAGTATAACGATCGTCATATCTCGACTAGCTGAGCCGATCTAGACATGTGTGTCCGTCCGTCCGTCTGTCCATTATAATTTGTAAACACGATACAGGCCACAGTTATGGACCAATCTTCACGAAATTTTGCATGTAGGATGGGTTCTGGTCAATGAAAACACCTATTGTTTCTGGGAAAGATAGGATAATATTTAGGGGATGAAATGGACCAAATACTTAATTTTTGTCGGGTTTTCTGGTCGCTCCAGAGGCCGCAATTATTGACCAAACATCTCGAATTTTTTACATGGAGAAGGGGATTGGGCCAAAGAATAAACATGCGTGTTTTAATAAAGATCGGTCAACGTTTGGTGGGTCAAATGGACCCTGACTTTTGTGTGAAAAGTGAAAAAATTTGTATTCTATAGCGTATATATTTACTCCTGAAGGACATAGAGCCGAAAAGTTAATAGTATATCCAAGAGGAGTGGTTGGCCTTTAAATTGATACCAATTATATTGTGGTAGTTACACGTAATGTGGGAGTTGCACGTAAATATTTACAAGTGCTTACGTATTAATATATTATTTAGTAACCCATTACCACCCTAGAGGGCGAAAATATAGCGCTGGTCGTTTTGAAATTTTCCATGAGGATCCAGGTATGTTCAAGGACAACACCTATAATTTTCGGTGATGTTCAGATAATATTATTGGGATAAAATGCACCGAAAACTTTATCTTTTGGGTTTTTTTCGAGTCGATCTATAGCCCACAATTGGAAGCCGAACATAACAACCCAACCCACGGTGAAGGTCTAGAGAGTGCAAATATTGCCCACGATCAGAATATAGAACAACACAAAGTTAGATTTTCGTGGAAGTTGTTTAGGGAATCATATGACCGGCCCCGTCCGACTACACTGCTCCGCTCACTGGTTTAAATATATTTTTAGAACTTATAGAGTCGTATATTTAAAAAAAAACATGTTTCCAGAGACTTCGATATATCGTGGATACTTAAAAAAAATATTTTTTAAGAACTACAAAAGGCTTGGAGGCTTTGAGTAGATTTTTATTTTTCCAGAAAACATATATAAGGCGTGGATTTTTTAAATAATTTTTTGTAAGTCCTATATAAGGCGTGAATTATTAAAATAATTTTTTTAAAGCGTGGATTATTGAAACATTTTTTTTTCTAGGGCTAATAATTGTGCAACTATTTCGTAATATATTTTACAATTTTCCAACAAAATATTATTTCTGTTACCACAACAATGTTGATTTAATCAAAATCTCTCGCTTTTCCATGGAAATAAAATAAAGCTGCACACAATTTGAAAATTATAGATTTTAATTCAACTCGTATAAAAGCCAACGATGTTCATTTATTGCAATTTTAAATGTAGAACGCGATCAGAAGCTAACGCCATTATTATGAAATTACCGGACATTGCATTTGGGGTTATTATTATTGTTGTTTTTGTTGTTCAAAGGGTAAGGTGAAAAAATTAAAAAAAAATCAAATAAAAAATCCCCCTTTTTCATCTTTAGACCTTAGCTGATGACATCGATGACATCCGTCATTTTGAATGTTTAAAACAATCTGAAATATCTCCCGACGTATACGATGATATGATGGATAAACTAATCGCTGACGAAACTGATGATATGGACCAACGATTTAAATGTTATACCCATTGTATGCTGGAGAAAGGTGGTCGTTTGAATGAGAATGGAAAATTGGATTTGACGAAATTTGAAGATTATCATATGTCCGAACGGGATATGGAAGCCATGGAGAAATGTAAAAGTGACAATGATGATATTGCGGATTCGTGTGAATATTCATTTGCATTGACTGTCTGTTATATGCAAGCAATTATAGCAAATCATGAGGGAACGGAAGAAATAAATGAATGAAGAAATATATATAGGACCCTGAAAAAATATAATTTAAAAATCCACGCCTTATATAGGTCGGTAAAAAATATTTTTAAATTAGTGAGGAATGTAGAAAAGTCGGACGGGGCCGACTATATGATACCCTTTAACACTTTGGCTATATTCAAGAAATACATCCTTACAGACCTTGAATTTTTGAAGGACCATTGACATGAAATTCGTTTAAGTTAAATATGTGATTTGTGTCTATATGTGAACCTACTTAACCCAACGATCAATAACCGGTTATATTTGTATAAAATATATATATTCTTGATCAGCGTAAAATTCTATGACGATATATGCAGCTCCGTCTATCTGTTGTAATCATTCTAGCGTCTAAACGAATTCAGATAGATCGCCAAAATTTTGCATAAATTTATCTCTTGTCTGCAGGCAGGTGAAGTTCGAAGATGGGCTATATCGTTCCACGTTTAGGCATGGTACCCATATAAGGGAACACCCCCATTTTCGGTATTTTGAGGTTCTTGAGCGCGTTTTTCAACCGAATACGCTGAAATTTGGTACACTGAGTTCTTATTGGGTACCAAATGTCTCCACTAAAAATTATTAATATCGGTCCACTTTTTCGGGTTGCCCCCATATAACGGTTAACCCAGAACCATTTCGATAGGTTGCTCGTAATGTTGTGCCAATCGGACACACTTTAAATCTTTGGTGCACCATTTGCGAAAAATCGGACAAACATATATATGGGAGCAATATCTAAATCTGAACCGATTTTAATAGAACATGGCACATGTTTGTCTATCCTAATTTCAGTACGTTGTGCAAAATTTTCGCGCCAATCTGCTTAAATTTTACTCTTTGTTGCACCATTTGCGAAAAATCGTATGAACATATATATGGGAGCTATACCCAAATCTGAACCGATTTCAATAAAAGTTGGCACATGTTAGTCTATCCTAATTTCAGTACGATGTGCAAAATGTCATGCCAATCGACCTAAATTTGACTTCTTGGTACACCATTTGCGAAAAATCGGACGAACATATATATGGGAGCTATATCCAAATCTGAACCGATTTCAAAAAAAACTTGGCACATGTTTGTCTATCCTAACTTCAGTGCGTTGTGCAAAATTTCATGCCAATCGGCCTAAATTTTACTCTTTGGTGCACCATTGGCTAAAAATCGGACGAACATATATATGGGAGCTATATCTAAATCTGGACCGATTTTATCGAAACTTGGCACACATCACTCTAGGCTCAATTCAGTACGTTATGGCAAATTTCGTGCAAATCGAAAGATATTTAGGGGCTTTGGTGGATCTTTACTTAAAATCGGACGTTAATATATATGGGAGCTATATCTAAATCTGAACCGATTTTTTTCCAATTTCAATAGGGTTCGTCCCTGGGCCAAATAAATGACCTGTGACAAATCTCATCTCATTCGGATAATAAATGCAACCTGAACTTTGTTTACAATTTAACATGGACTGGCGGACGGACAGACGGACATGCATAAATCGGCTCAGAAAGTGATTCTATGCATATTCTCAAAAATCTTTATAAAATCCACGCCTTATGGGGGTCCTTAAAAAGTAATCTTTATAAAATCCACGCCTTATGGAGGTCCTTAAAAATTAATCTTTATAAAATCCACGCCTTATGGAGGTCCTTAAAAAGTAATCTTTATAAAATCCACGCCTTATGGAGGTCCTTAAAAAGTAATCTTTATAAAATCCACGCCTTATGGAGGTCCTTAAAAAGTAATCTTTATAAAATCCACGCCTTATGGAGGTCCTTAACACAGTAATCTTTATAAAATCCACGCCTTATGGAGGTCCTTAAAAAGTAATCTTTATAAAATCCACGCCTTATGGAGGTCCTTAAAAAGTAATCTTTATAAAATCCACGCCTTATGGAGGTCCTTAAAAAGTAATCTTTATAAAATCCACGCCTTATGGAGGTCCTTAAAAAGTAATCTTTATAAAATCCACGCCTTATGGAGGTCCTCAAAAAGTAGTCTTTATAAAATCCACGCCTTATGGAGGTCCTTAAAAAGTAATCTTTATAAAATCCACGCCTTATGGAGGTCCTTAAAAAGTAATCTTTATAAAATCCACGCCTTATGGAGGTCCTTAAAAAGTAATCTTTATAAAATCCACGCCTTATGGAGGTCCTTAAAAAGTAATCTTTATAAAATCCACGCCTTATGGAGGTCCTTAAAAAGTAATCTTTATAAAATCCACGCCTTATGGAGGTCCTTAAAATGTAATCTTTATAAAATCCACGCCTTATGGAGGTCCTTAAAAAGTAATCTATATAAAATCCACGCCTTATGTAGGTCCTTAAAATGTAATCTTTATAAAATCCACGCCTTATGGAGGTCCTTAAAAAGTAATCTTTATAAAATCCACGCCTTATGGAGGTCCCTGAAAAAATATTCTTAGAAAAAAATCCACACCTTATGGAGGTCCTTAAAAAGTAATCTTTATAAAATCCACGCCTTATGGAGGTCCTTAAAATGTAATCTTTATAAAATCCACGCCTTATGGAGGTCCTTAAAAAGTAATCTTTATAAAATCCACGCCTTATGGAGGTCCTTAAAAAGTAATCTTTATAAAATCCACGCCTTATGGAGGTCCTTAAAATGTAATCTTTATAAAATCCACGCCTTATGGAGGTCCTTAAAAAGTAATCTTTATAAAATCCTTGTAGGACCCTAAAAAATATTAAAGAAAAATTGTGTTTCTTTTTAAATCCACACCTTTATTAGCGTTCGAACAATATTCCTTAATTTATTTCCATTAAAACTCCCTATTCATTTACATCTTCTTCAACTTCGGAATAATTCATTTTGTTGCCCTCCCTAAAACACACAGTCAATGCAAAGGCATATTCACATTTATCCTCAATATCTTCCGTGTCGTTTTTACATTTTTCAACGGCTTCAATTTCACTCGCCGACATATTTTTATCTTCCATTTTCGCCAGATCAAGTTTTCCCGTTTCATCGAAATGATCCCATTTCTCCAACATACAATGGGTATAACATTTAAATCGGTGATCCATATCATCTGTGGCATTCGCCTCTAACATATCCATCATGGAGTCAAATTCATCTTCCGCTATTTCGGATTGTTCCATGCACACAACATGGCGGACATCGTCCAGGTCATCAGCTGAGGACTGAAGAGAAAGGGGAGATTTTTTTTATTAATTAGAAAATATTACGCAGAAAAAAATCCATTGCCCTGTCACACCTTTTCCAAAACTGACACGGCAACGACAACAATTAACACAATGACCGTCAAATTCATAATGATAGGGTTGGAGTTGTGATCACGTTCTCTTTTTGAAATTATAGTGAACGCAACACCCTTGGCTTTTATATGATTTGTATAGAGTCTATAATTTTCGAATTGTGTGCAGGTTCATATTAAATTTTAATTGAATGGCGATATGTAGATTACATCGGTATTGTAGTATCAACAAAACGATTTGTTTTTTTTTCAATAATTAAAAAAAAACCTGCAAGTCAACAGGAAATATTATGAAATAGATGGAGAGAATGATGAGGTCCCCGATTTTTTTAAATCCACGCCTAAAATAGGTTCTTAAAAATATTTTTTTAAAAAATCCACGCCTAACATAGGTCCTTTAAAATATTTTTTAAACCAGTAAGGAAAGTAGTAAAGTCGGACGGGGCCGACTATATGATACCCTTCACCACTATGGGTATATTAAACAGGACTATTAGCAATTTTCTAAATTGGAAAATTTGAAATAAAATATGTGATATTTAAATCGGGCTATATATGTGAAGCTCTACCAAATATTATCTATCCATAAAGTATGTAAATCTTAAAATTCAAACAAATATATATAAATAGGCAGACATATTCTTGGGCTCATTCAGTACTTTATGAAAATTTCGCAACTACGTAATTCATAAATGCTCAATTTTGTAAGTTGTGCAAAATTTGATGTCAATCGGACTAACATGAGGAGTTTGATGCCCAATTCACTTGAAATCGGGCTAAAATATATATGGAAGCTCTATCCAAATATTAAGCGATTTCAAACAAACTTGTCACAGGTTAGGTTATATTAATTTCAGAACGTTTTGTTCTTATAAGCCTATTGATTCCGTGGTGCGTCAATTACTTAAAATCAATCTATAATAAAAGGGAGCTATATATAAATCTTGGTAGACATAATTCTAGGCTCAATTCAGTACGTTATGCCAAATTTCCTGCAAATCGAATGATATATAGGGACTTAGGTGCACCATTTACATGATATCGGACGAAACTATATATGGGAGCTATATCTAAATCTGGACTGATTTTCACGAAACTTGGCAGACATAATTTTCGGCTCAATTCAGTACGTTATACCAAATTTCGTGCAAATCGAAGGATATATAGGGACTTTGGTGCACCATTTACATGAAATCGAACGAAATTATATATGGGAGCTATATCTAAATCTGGACCGATTTTCTCGAAACATGGCAGACACCATTCTAGGTTCAATTCAGTACGTTATGCCAAATTTCGTGCAAATCGAGAGATATATAGGGACTTTGGGGCACCATTTACATGAAATCGGACGAAAATATATATGAGAGGTATATCTAAATCTAAACCGATTTTCTCAAATCTTGGCAGACATAATTCTCGGCTCAATTCAGTACGTTATGCCAAATTTGGTGCAAATCGAAAGATATATAGGGACTATGGTGCACCATTTACATGAAATCGGACGAAACTATATGTGGGAGCTATATCTAAATCTGGACCGATTTTCTCGAAACTTGGCAGACATCACTCTAGGCTTAATTCAGTACGTTATGGCAAATTTCGTGCAAATCGAAAGATATTTAGGGACTTTGGGGCACCATTGACATGAAATCGGACGAAACTGTATATGGGAGATATATCTGAATCTGAACCGATTTTCTCAAAACTTGGCAGACATCGCTCTAGGCTCAATTTAGTACGTTATACCAAATTTCGTCCAAATCGAAGGATGTATAGGGACTTTGGTGCACCATTTACATAAAATCGGGCGAAACTATATATGGGAGCTATGTCAAAATATTGACCGCTTTTCACGAAACTTGGCAGATATCATTCTAGACCTAAATGATTAGGCTGTACCAAATTTCGTGCAAATCGAAAGATATATAGGGACCGTTTACATTAAATCGGTTAAATATATATATGAGAGCTATATCTAAATCTGAACCGATTTTTTCCAATAGGGTTCGTCCTTGGCCCGAATAAGTGACCTATGTTAAATTTCATCCAATTCGGATCATAAATGCGACCTGTACTTTGTTTACAATTTAACATGGACAGACAAACAGACGGACGGACAGACGGGCGGGCGGGCGTACATACGTAAATCGACTCAGAAAGTGATTCTATGCATATTCTCAAAAGGGACTGTGTATCTATATCGTTTCCTTTTGCCTGTTACAAACATATGCACAAAGACATAATACCCTGTACCACAGTGTGGTGAAGGGTATAAAAATCCACGCCTTATAGGCAGATCCCGAAAAATCTTTTAAAAAAATCCATGCCTTATAGAGATCCCGAAAAATAGTTTAAAAAAATCCATGCCTTATAGAGATCACGAAAAATAGTTTTTAAAAAATCCACGCCTTATAGGGAGATCCCGAAAAATAGTTTTTAAAAAATCGAAAAATAGTTTTTGAAAAATCCACGCCTTATAGGGAGATCCCGAAAAATAGTTTTTGAAAAATCCACGCCTTATAGAGATCCCGAAAAATAGTTTTTAAAAAATCCACGCCTTATAGGGAGATCCCGAAAAATAGTTTTTGAAAAATCCACGCCTAAAATAGGTCCTTAAAAATATTTTTTTAAATTTTCTCCCATAGGGTTCGTCCTTGGCCCGAATAAGTGACCTATGTTAAATTTCATCCAATTCGGATCATAAATGCGACCTGTACTTTGTTTACATACGTTATTCGATTCAGAAAGTGATTCTATGCATATTCTCAAAAGGGACCGTGTATCTATATCGTTTCCTTTTGCCTGTTACTAATATATGCACAAAGACATAATACCCTGTACCACAGTGTGGTGAAGGGTATAAAAATCCACGCCATATAGAGATCGCGAAAAATAATTTTAAAAAAATCCACGCCTTATAGGGAGTTACCGAAAAATAGTTTTTTAAAAAATCCACGCCTTATAGGGAGTTACCGAAAAATAGTTTTTTAAAAAATCCACGCCTTATAGGGAGATCCCGAAAAATAGTTTTTTAAAAAATCCACGCCTTATAGGGAGTTACCGAAAAATAGTTTTTTAAAAAATCCACGCCTTATAGGGAGATCCCGAAAAATAGTTTTTAAAAAATCCACGCCTTATAGAGATCCCGAAAAATAGTTTTTAAAAAAATCCACGCCTTATAGAGATCCCGAAAAATAGTTTTTAAAAAATCCACGCCTTATAGAGATCCCGAAAAATAGTTTTTAAAAAAATCCACGCCTTATAGAGATCCCGAAAAATATATTTTAATAAATCCTCAGGAATTCACGCCTTGTTGGGGTCCTTTAAAAAATATTTATAAATAATTCCAAGCCTTATGTAGGTCCTTAAAAATCCACGGTTTTATTCATAATCCCTTAACACTTCCATCGAACAAATTTCCATTTGAAAAACATATTCACATCGATCTTCGATTTGCTTATGCTGCTCCTTACAATTCTCCAAAATCCGAACATGATATTCGGGTAAATTATAATCCTCCTGAATCCATTCCATTCTATATCGTTCATCCTTATCCAAATGACCTCTCCCCATCAGCATACAATGCATATAACATTTATATCTCATATCGATGTCCGAGGGAATCGTCGACATTAAATCCTTCATTGTTTTATATTCATCGTCGTCTAAACGATGTTGGTGAATGCATTCATTGTGTCTGAATTCCTGAAAGGTCTGGAATAGATTTTTTCATTAATAAAATAAAATTTCCTGGAAATCTGGTAGCAATTTACCTCGCCGTGAATGAGGGCTACTGTTAGGACAAAGCCAAATGCAATTTCAATTAAATGCATGCTTTTCATTTGCTCTGGAGGTACACGTTGACTGGGATGGATGTCATTGTGGTAGAGTTTTATACAATTTCAGAAAATAATTTATAATTATAAGGTTTGGGAAAATAATTATTACTTTAAACTATGAAAAGAAAAATATAATTATTGATTAACAAATATTTTAACCAGACAATTATTCAAGCTATAAACAGTGCTTGGATTTATAAAAAATATTTTAAGGACCCCAACAATGAGTGGTTTTTCTAGTAATCATTTTTTCATCATCCATTGAAATAGTGAGCTGATGTGTTCCGCGATTTCACCCATAAGAACTATAAAAAAAATAGGTTGAGGCGTCGGGTTAGTTGCACACAATCGGAAAACCCAACCTACTATGAATCAGTAAGGAAAGTAGTAAAGTCGGACTGGGCCGACTATATGATACCCTACTAAACTACTATATTCAACATATGTATCCTAACAGACGTCACGTTTTTGTTATATATCTAAATCTGAACCGATTTCGGGGAAACTTTCCAGAGACTAATTTATATTACATCAGTACGTTGTGTCAATCGGCCTAGCTATGGATCTTTTCACGAAGCTTAGCAACAACATTTTAGACTTAATTCAGTACCCTATACCAAAATTCATGCAATCCGAAAAATATATAGGGACTTTGTTGCACCATTTACATAAAATCGGACGAAAATATATATAGGTGCTATATCTAAATTTGAACCGATTTTCACGAAACTTTGCACACAACGTTCTAGACTTAATTCAGTACGCTAAGCCGAATTTCGTGCAAATCGAAATTTATAGGGACTTGGGTGCACCATTTATATAAAATCGGAAGAAAATGTATATGGAGCTATATCTAAATCTGAACCGATGTTCACGAAACTTTGCACACATCATTCTAGGGTCAATTCATTACGCTGCGCCAAATTTCGTGCAATTCGAAGCATATTTAGGGACTTTGTTTCAGCATTTACCTAACGATGGACGAAAATATATATGGGAGCTACATGTAAATCTGAACCGATTTTCTCGAAACTTAACACCGATCATTCTGCACTTAATTCAGTACGCTATGCCAAATTTTGTGCAAATCGAAAAATATATAGGGACTTTGTTGCACCATTATATAAAATCGGACGAAAATATATATAGGAGCTATATCTAAATCTGAACTAATTTTTACGAAATTTAACATACATCTTTCTAGACTTAATTCAGTACGATGTGCCAAATTTCGTGCAAATCGAATGATATATAGGGACTTTGGTGCACCATTTAGCTAAGTACCCTATGCTAAATTTCGAGCTAATCGAAAGATATATAAGGGCATTGGTGCCCATTAACCTTAAATCGGACGAAACTATATACGGGAGCTATATCTAAATCTGAACCGATTTTCTTCAATTTCAGTAGAGTTCGTCCTTGGGCCAAATAAATGAGCTGTGCCAAATTTTATGCAATTCGAATCAAAAATGCGACCTGTACTTTGTTATACCCTTCACCACACTGTGGTACAGGGTATTATGTCTTTGTGCATATGTTTGTAACAGGCAAAAGGAAACGAGATAGACCCATAGTTCCTTTTGAGAATATGCATAGAATCACTTTCTGAGTCGATTTATGCATGTCCGTCCGTCCGTCTGTCCGTCTGTTGGTGTTAAATTGTAAACAAAGTACAGGTCGCATTTATAATCCGATTTAGATGAAATTTGGCATAGGTCACTTATTCGGCCCAAGGACGAACCCTATTGAAATTGGGAAAAATCGGTTCAAATTTAGATATAGCTCCCATATATATATTTAACCGATTTAATGTAAACGGTCCCTATATATCTTTCGATTTGCACGAAATTTGGTACAGCCTAATCAATTAGGTCTAGAATAATGTCTGCCATGTTTCGTGAAAATCGGTCCAGATTTAGATATAGCTCCCATATATAGTTTCGTCCGATTTCATGTAAATGGTGCCCCAAAGTCCCTATATATCTTTCGATTTGCACGAAATTTGGCATAACGTACTGAATTGAGCCTTGAATGATGTCTGCCAAGTTTCGTGAAAATCGGTCCAGATTTAGATATAGCTCCCATATATATTTATATATATATATACCGATTTCAGGTAAATGGTGCTCCAAAGTCCCTATATATCTTTCGATTTGCACCAAATTTGGCATGACGTACTGAATTGAGCATAGAATTATGTCTGCCAAGTTGCGAGAAAATCGGTCCAGATTTAGATATAGCTCCCATGTATAGTTTCGTCCGATTTCATGTAAATGGTGCCCCAAAGTCCCTATATATCTTTCGATTTGCACGAAATTTGGCATAACGTACTGAATTGAGCCTTGAATAATCGATCCAGATTTAGATATAGCTCCCATATATAGATTCGTCCGATTTCATGTAAATGGTGGACCAAAGTCGCTATATATCTTTCGATTTGCACGAAATTTGACAGACATAGCCCAACGGATGACCTATTTATATTTGTTTGAAGTCGATTTACATACTTTATGGATAGATCTAGGTAGATTCACATTTAGATAAATATCACATATTTTATTTCATTAAATTTCATGTTAATAGTCCTGTTTAATATACCCATAGTGGTGAAGGGTATCATATAGTCGGCCCCGTCCGACTTTACTACTTTCCTTACTGGTTTACAATTTAGCATGGACAAACAGACGGACGGTCGGTCGGTCGGACATGCATAAACCGACTAAGAAAGTGATTCTATGCCTATTCTCAAAAGGAACCATGTGTCCATCTCGTTTCCTTTTGCCTGTTACAAACATATGCACAAAGACATAATACCCTGTACCACAGTGCGGTGAAGGGTATAAAAATCACGCCGTATGTGGATGCCTAAAAAAAATTATTGGGTCCTTAAAAATATTTTTAAAGCATCTAAGGATTTTTAAATTGATTTCTATAGGTTTTTATTATTTCTCTGAAATATTTCTTTAAATATTTTGTATTTCTCTCTTGTGTCTTGTGCAATTGACATAATAAATCCAATTTCATAAAGACAAGAACATAAATTGAACATTCCGAGCGAAGTCGTCTTCGCCTCCTCCTCCTCCTCCTACGATTTTGTTTCTTTGTCACGCTTAACTTTAAAGTAACGAAACTTCATTTAAACTTTTCAAATCAATATTTTTTTATACTTTTCCGTTAGAATTTCAGATTTTTTTTATTTTTCTACAGAACTTCTACAGTTTCCTCCCTCCCGTTTTGGCCAGGATGCAATTTGAGACTTCGGGAGAGAGAAAGAGAGAGCGAGAAAAAAAATTAGAAATATTTTCAATCTAAAACTCTTATGTATTGACATACGATAATGTTCTTATATTACAACTTTTTTTAGTTGGTCCTTTAAGTTTGTTGGCATTCCACCCCTTCCCCTTGATGTGCGTGCTGACAGTAGAGGTGGGTATGAGTGTGTGTGTGTGTGGCTGTGTGTACAGCTCTGTTAATCTTTAACTTGAGCTAGTATTTCAATAAAAAAAAATCAGTACCAGCAGCAACAACGTGCCTGCATTCCGCACACATTTATTCATTGGCATTCCTTTACATATGTCACACTTGTAAGTGACTTGGCTGAGCCAGTGAAAGAGTGACTTGAGCGGATGAGTGAACTACTCAACTTTGTGGGTAGCAGTGGCAGTTGTACCCTGCCCATGGCAGAGGAAGTTCAAAATGGAATTCAACACTGAAAATAAACTTTATGCTTTAAACAATAAAGTGTAATTTCCACCAAAAGCTGTCAAAGGAAGTAACAACAATAATGGAGAACAGAAGCAAAAAAAAATTGCAAAAATTCCACAAAAAGGAAGGGGTGATGATGATGAAGGAAGAATGAGACGAAGAAAAAATTTGCTAAAACTTTTGCCAACAGTAGTGTTGAAAAGAATAACAATACAACAGCAAACGCCAATAACACTTCCAGTCTAAGTTAAAAGCCAACCAAGCCAAGAGGGGAGATGGGGGGGAAAAAAATCTTCGTCGAAAGGATACGGAAATAAACTTCTTCTCAACATTGGCTGAGTGCTTAACAACTGGCTCAAAAGTAATATAACATGGAGAATAACAACAACAGCAACAATAACAACTACTACAACCAGAATCCACTACCCGACAAATGCAGTCACGATCAATGAACGATGTTGTTGTTGTAGTCTTTGTTGCTGTTTCTTTTGTTACGTCTTTGGGAGTAACCGAGGCACACGCACCACTTAAGGCAGTGACTGGTGTTGCTGCTGTTGCTACTGCCACGACTACTTCTGTTTGTGTTACTTACAAAAGGAAACGGATACGGAAATTTATAGTTTCTCAATAAGCGAATAGATGTTGCGTACACACGCAAGACACACTCAAACACTGACACACACACACACATATGGACATAAAGGCAACAAATAGTGGAATTTAAATTGAAATTCACTGCAAATTGGAACAGATGTTACTTGGAAAAAAATATTCAATCGAAAGAATGGATGATTTCAAAGGTCCTTGAAAAAATATTTTTAAAAAATCCATTGTAAACATATTTTTAAAAAATGCACTCCTTCCATAGGCCTTTGAAAACATATAGGTGCTTGAAAAAATATTCTTTAATAAAGCCACGCCTCAGTTGGCCCTTGAAAAATATTCTTTAATAAAGCCACGCCTTTTTGAGGTCTTCAAAAAATATTCTTTAATAAATCCACGCCTTGTTGAGATCTACGCCTTACGTAGGTCATTCAAAAAATATTTTTATAAAATCCACACCGTATATAGGTACTTAAAAAAATCTTTTTATACCCTACACAACAATGTTGTCAGGGTATTATAGCTTTGTGCAGCCCCAAAAGCTTGTAACGTCGCGAAATATTGGTCCTAGACCCACCTTTAAGTATACCGATCGTTATATCTCGACTAGCTGAATCGATCTAGACATGTGTGCCCGTCCGTCCGTCCATTATAATTTGTAAACACGATACCGGCCACAGTTATGG